ATAATAATAATAATAATAATAATAATAATAATAATAATAATAATAATAATAATAATAATAATAATAATAATTAATTAATTAATTAATTAATAATAATAATTAACAATAAATTAATTAATAATCAATCAATTTTAAATTTACCCAATCTAAAAGATTTTGGATTAAAGAAGTTTTATCTCTTTCAGCATTTAATCCTATCAATGAATGAATGGATTAATGAATTAATGAATGAATGAATGAATTAATGAATGAATGATTAATAGTGAATGAATGATTATTAGTGAATGAATGAACAGTGAATAAATAACAAATAATTAGATTATTAATATAATTACCTCGCTCTACACACAAGGCAACCAAATCGGCCCAAGTTTTATCATTAAGAGTTGCCCAATTTTCATTTTCTAATGCACTATCTATATTATTATTATTAAGATTATTATTAAGATTATTATTATTATTAAGATTATTATTATTATTAAGATTATTATTATTATTAAGATTATTTATTATTAAGATTATTATTATTAAGATTATTATTTATTAAGATTATTATCCAATTCCAATTAATATAATTGATAATCAAATTAGTTACAATAATTCCAAAATAAAATAAAAATAAAAAATTATATTAAATTATTATTATTAATTCATTATTATGTATATTCACCTATATGATGATCGAGAGTTTGAAAAGGTGCCATTTTTTTAATAATGATAAAAAAGAAATAATGGATAAGTATTTATATATATGATGTATTTAATGTATTTTTTAATTCCTTAAATATAATAATGGAAAAAAAAAAGAAAAATCGATTTCCTTACGTTAAAAAATTATTCAACCCGTTACATATATATATATAAAATTATTATAACATAATAAATTAATAAATTTAAATGATATGTTTGTACAACATTCTTCTTTTGTTGGGAAAAAGAGGACATTCAACATTCATTTATTTATGCATTCATTTTAAAAATTTCATTCAACGTTTAAAATTTAGAAATTTGTGATGATGTAACACCAAAATGAAAATAGATAATAATAAGTATTCCATAATCATTATTCTAGAGAAATTTAATATATATATTATATTTGATTATATTGTATTAAATTGTTATTGTTAAAAATTTATGACAAATAAAAATAATAATAATATTATATTATTTTATTATAATTGATAAAATATAATATCTTTTTATTATATATATTAATTATATTGTTATTGTTTGAAGAGTATTGATTAAATATATTTTCTTATTATATTTTAATTAATTTTCGACTACATCATCCATGGCGTTTACAATTTCTCCTGAAAAAAAAAAATCAATCGGGGTATTCACGTCCCACAGTACTATTTGCTTATTTGAGCTAGTAAGTATAAAAAACAATTCCTTGATATCCTTAATGGATGATCGTTTTTCAATGAGCCATTTGAAGTCATTAATGATATCACCAGTAACTTATTAGTGAAATACAAATATCAAAGAGAAATTTCTAGAAATAATTCAGTTATTTATTATTATTTTATATTATTATTATTATTATTTTCCTACTACTTAATGTTATATTATTATCATTTTCTTAATACCTGATGATATATTTTTCTTTAAGTTTGATAATAAAAAGAATTATAGTAATTACACCTAACAAGATACCTAATAAGCAACTAATAAGTTTAACATAATTAAAAGTGTTTTCCAATAAATCCATCTTTAGTTTTAATACATCGTCTTTTATTTCTAACAGTAAATTGTAATTTTTCTAAAAATAAAAACAAAATTATTAGGAATTCAATTATTACAAGAAATTCAAGAGTTAAAAAAAAGAGAACTCACGTTTAATAATACCAGCTGCAAACTCTGTAAAGTGGTTTCCGCCACTGATCTGGGTCTCAAGAAATCTGCACGTTCAAAACTTCCGTGCTGTCTCCAAAATTCCTTTACTTCAGGTGCATCTTTGTAATACTAGAAAACCTCAATATAATTAGTAAGGCTCGTCATACAATAATAATAACAATAACAATAATAATAATAATAATAATAATAATAATAATAATAATAATAATAATAATACCTTAAAATCAGATAATAAATCACGAGCCTTATTCAACATGGATTCATCATATAAGTTGTTTTTATTCACAATAATTTTTTTAAGTTGTTTCTTCCAATTAATATTTTCAATTTTCCTGCTAGAAAAATCATAAAAATCAAATCTCCATTCTAGAAAATTAGGGAGTGACCATTTGGAAGGTTCAACTTCCAGGCAATAATTATTTCTTGTCTATTAGTAGTTACGAAATAGATAGAATATGAGATAGAGAATACGAAAATAAATGAGATCATGTAAAACTCGTGAGAACGGTTAAAAACACGTAAAGTTTGATTCCTTACTTCATCCATTACGCGTGAAAATAAGTTTAAAATTAGGGTGATATCTGTTATTGTCACACAAGATCACACTTCTGCTCAGATATCCAGATATCTAGATATTCAGATATTTTCAATACGATGATTAGTAAAATTCGGAGTGAAAAATTTCCATTGTATTCTGTGTGAATAATTGATAATGAGTTTATATAATTATTGTAACTATTTTGTAATTGAAGATGAAGAATATATATATCTATATATTATTATTTTTTGTTTTCCGCACAAGTTTTTTCTAAAATAAATAATATTCAACAATTGATCGCGTTTTTTAAAATAAATATTACTGAGATAATTGACTTCTGATACTCCATTAGGCTTCGTTTAGACTTTATTATTAATTATTATCATTATTATTAATTATCATTATTATTAATTATCATTATTATTATTATTATTATTACTATTATTATTATTATTATTATTATTATTATTATTATTATTATTATTATTATTGTAATGATAAATTAAATGATCAATTCGTTTTTATTTTATTTTATTAATTTTTATTTATTTACTAATAGACGAAAAAGTTTTTAACTTTTTTTTTTTTTTATTTCATTTATTTCATTTTAATAAATTGTTAAATTGTACTTTTTACTATTACTTACGATTATACTTGCAGTTATTTATTAATTAATTTATTTATTTTACTTTATTTTTTTTTTTTTTCGCGAAATTTATCTAATTAAACGTAATTCTTTATTTAACAAGATTGAATCAACATTTTTTATTCGGTATCATTAACCTTATCATAAATATTTATTTCTTCATTTCTTTCTTTCTCCCTTCTTACATTTTTTTTTTCTTTACTTTCATGTTCGCAAGGATTTATTACTTTTTCTAAAATTATTATAAATTATAAAATGATGAAAATTCATCGATTACTTGATGTACCAATTATTAATGATGATGAAGTAGTAGTCAACAATGAAAATAATGATGACAATGTTGATCAAGGAATAGAAATTGACGCTTTCACCACCACTATTGTTACTGCTATTTCAAAAGATAATAAAGATAAACATTACCCATCACGTCTCGATTCACCTTTTGTCTTGTCTTCTAATCAACAACACAATAATCATCAACAAAATAATCATCATCAACCAAATAATCAACAGAAAAATAATCAACTTTTACTTGATAATACTGATTTATGGACTCAATTTTATCGAGCTAACAATGAAATGATAATTACAAAATCGGGCCGATGCATATTTCCTTTATTAAGATTCAAACCCGAAAATCTTGATTCATCTTCTCGATACACTTTTATTCTTGATTTTATTTTAGTTTCTCCGAATAGATTTCGTTTTAAAAAGGGTAATTGGATCTCGATTGGTCCGGATAAACGAAGATTTTCAATTAATCATCATAACAACAATAATAATAAGACAAAGAATGGTATGGTCGATGGCCGACCTTTTACACATCCGGATTCTCCGCAATCAGGTGAATAATAATTTATTAAAATAATCATTTTAATTATTTTAAAATTTTATTTTTCTATTAAATTAATATATTTTTAGGAGCATATTGGACTCGATTCGGCGTATTCTTTCCTAAAATCAAACTCACCAATCGACCACGTCATAATCTCGCAGTTCGTGACAAAAAACATAATAACAATAACAGCAATAATAATAATAATCGTTCACGAAAAATCGAGGATGAATTTAATACCATCACCACCACCACCACCACCACCCTTCCCGATGGTCATTTTTGTTTAACCTCGTTTCATAAATATCAACCTCGAGTAAAAATGATTAAACATTCAACCACAACTTTTGAAAATGATGAAGAATCTTTCTTCACTTTTAAAGAAACCACTTTCATTGCTGTGACTCATTATCAAAATGAAACCGTGAATACTCTCAAGAAAAATAATAATCCTCATGCTAAAGGTTTTAAAGATTTTAAAGATATTGAAGATATTAAAGATATGGGAAATAATGATAATGATAATAATAATCATAATAATAATCATAATAATAATGGTTCTAGAAAAGATAAAAATTATAGCAGGAATGGTAGTAATATTATTGACGGTGTTGATGACGATGATGAATTATTATTAACTTGTTCCTCTTCTTCTTCGGATGAATCCAATAGTGAAAACTTTTTTCAAGATGAATTGAATTCTAGTGAAGTTGAAAATTTTGAAAATATTGAAAATGTTGAAAATATTGAAAATGTCGAAAATATTGAAAATGTTGAGAACGATGAAGATGAAAGTTCTGAAAGTACAATTCAAGAAGAATTTTCTAATCTTTCATTCAATTACTTTACTAATCGTTCTTCTTCCGAGAATCCCAATAATAATAATTCTTCTTCTAATAATTCTTCTAATCGTCCTTCTTCAAACAATTCTGATATCAATAACATCAACAACAATAATCTCATTAACAATAATATTAACAATACATGGTGGAAACGGTCTTTTGGAGATTCTTCAACAAAATCAAAAAAACGGATATTACCAACCGATGAATTTCACTTGCGACAAACTACTATTAATCAATTTGGTGGTGGAAGAGTAAAAGTTGTCAAAACAACATCTTTTATGACACAAAAACCAAAAGATAATAATAATAATAATCATAATAATAATCATAATCATCTATTTGAAAGAAAAAAAGAAATTCTTCCTAATCCTAATATGTCCACCTCTATTCCTGCTTCTATTTCTATTGTCACCCCTATTAATAGAAATACTATTATAACTCCTTGTGATGATTCTCGTTCTCGTTTTGTAAATATGGAGAATAATAATAATAATAATAATAATAATAATAATAATAATAAGAATAATAATAATAATAATAATAATAATAATAATCATCTTAATAATAATCTTAATAATAATTATAATAATAATAATAATAATAATGATAATGATAATAATAATGCATCAAGACAAAAACGACCAAAGTTTGATCATAAAGTTGGTCAAAATTTTCTTCGTCCAAATACTCCGAATGAATATCATAGTAATATTAACAGTAGTAGTAAACCTATTTCCTCTTTTAACGAATTTCCACGAAATTTCGATGATAACAATAATAATAATGATGAAAATAACAACGAAGGTTTTATTAAACGACTTCAACAAACACAACTACAACAAAAAACATCACGATCAAAATTTCAATTTGGATCTTCTCTTCTTCCATCACTATCTTCATCTTTTTTATCATGTTCATCTTCTTATAATAATAAGTTATCATCTCAACGAGGAGTTTATCATGCTCCAATTACACCTGCTACCACTAGAAATGATTATTTTTCTTCAACTACCAAAACTATTATTAATACTACTACTAATAATAATATTAATACTAATAATACTAATATTGGCGCTACTATCAATACTATCAATAATAATAATATGACAACCACAAATATTTATACATCTCGGCTTGAACGTGCTGAAGATGAAAATAGAAAATTGAGAGAATTCATTAGAGAAAGATATGGTTTAGAAGCTGAAAAAGAAGCTGATGTCGTAGTTGCTTTTGGGAATAATGTTGAATTATTATCATTTAATAATAATAACAATTATTATTATAACAACAATAGATAATTATAATTATTATAATATAATTATAGTAATAATTGAAGATTTCCATTCGCTTTTTTTTTTAAAAAAAAGAAATTATTTTATATTTGCCATACTTTTATTATTCATTAAACTTTTGAATTTTTTTAGTAATTATTACTTAATTTCAATTTATAATTTCCTTTTATTTTCGATATAATGATCGAAAAGGTTGCATATTGTATATTATTGTTATAATTATTAGTGAAATAAAATTTATTATTTAAATATTTTATTTAGTATTTTAATTTTAAACAATCTAAACATGGTAAAGAACAATAACAATGCTAACTAATTTCTTTTAATAACTTTAGAAACCATTTTCTATAACCAAAGAAAAAAAAATTTTCCGGAAAAAATGGAATATTTGACGGATTCTACCTTATTATAAAATGTAATAAATAAATGCTTTGTAATTACTCTAAAATAGCATATTCTACGTTTATTATGTGTATATAAATGCTAAGAAAAAAAAAGTTAAATGATACAACAATTGAAAATTCAGGAAAAAAAAAATGAAAACTAAAAAACGATATATAATATAAAATCAAATGAAATAAAAATACTTTTTTTTTTTTAAAAAAAAAAAAAAAAATACGAACAAATTAAAAAATGTTAAAATATGAGCTATTCAAGAAAATAAATTATCAACAAAAAGCCATTACAATTTACCTTGAATAAATTGAATAAAGTAATCATCGCAACTACAAAATATAAATTCGTGATGAAATAGAAGATCTATTCATTTTTTGGGTACTTGTACGCCAACACATTTTGATTAATAAATATTTTCGCACTCTAAAATAGCATACTTTACATATGGGAAAGTGTGTTAAATATGAAAAATTCAGGAAAAATTTTTGCATTCATCATTTTATTTTTTATTTTTTAAAATTTATGAATTAAATAAAAAACATACAAAATACTTTTTTTTAATAAAGTTACCCTAAAAAAATATTCTTAAAAGTAATCATCATAATTAATGTATATAACTACAAAATAGAAATTCGAGATGAAAATTAATAGTATTAATAAATAGAAGATCTATTAAAGAAATAAGTTTCCATTTTTTGGGTTCTCGTACACCAACACATTTTGAATAACATTATTTTTCCAAATAGCTAATCATAAATAAATAATAGGATAAGAAACGTTTTCCATTATATAGGGGAAAAGAAAATTACCATTTTTGGAATTTGGTACGCCCACACCATTCAAATTTGCCTTTGTCTGTTCGTTCGTTCGTTTGTTCGTTTGAAGGGAATATCGGAATATCTGTATAAAAATAAACAAAATGATTAAAATAAGTTCAAATTAATAAGTTTTCATCATTCCAGTAAAAAACAAACATAAATATAAAAGAAAAAATAAAAAAATAGAAATCGCATGTCTGTTTCCGGGAGTTCCGCAATCAATTCTACAATTCTACATCATCAGTTATTTTTGTATCCACATAATCCATTCATTTGTTCGAAGGAATATATATATAAAAATAAACAAAATAAGTAAAATTAAGTGCAAATTAATAATTCCGGTAAAAAAACAAACATATGTATATATAAAATATAACATTTTCAATAGATAAATCAATTAATTCAACTTTTATACCTTTCCCCCACTTGAGAATTCAAGTATGGGGCATATCTATTCTGAGATCGTCGTCCTATTTTTTGTAAGAATGATTATTTTTAATAAAAAATATATATGCATATATAAATACAATATTAATTATATACTAACTGTGCCTGGCAAGTCAAGTGAAATTTGTCCCGTTTTGGCCGTTTTATTGACCATCAATGCCGGATGGGTAAGTTTCGGTCCGTCGGTTTTGGTCGGGCGATGGAAATCGGTTTTGGTTGGTCTATTGTAATATGTTATTATAGTATTTTAATATCACCCTAATATTTAAGAAATTAATAATCAACAATATACTTACTCTTCATCTGGAATAACACTACCAGCACTTGATGAAGAAGGTGTTGAAATCGAAGAAGGGACATCTTCATATCTATTATAATATGTTATTATAATATTTTAATATCACCCAATATTTAAATAATTAATAATCAACAATATACTTACTCTTCATCTGGAATAACACTACTAGCTTTTGATGATGAAGGAGTCGAAAACGAAAAAGAGGTATCAATCTTAAAAGGTTGTTGTTAGACATATTTTTAAACTAAAGAAGAAAAAGAGGCGAAAAAATAAAAGTGAAAGAAATAGTGGTAAAAAAGAAACAAAGTAAAAGTAAAGGAAGTAAAAGTGGAAGTAAAAAAGGTAAAAAGGGAAGAAATAGAAGGAAAAGTAGGAAAGAAAATTTTGAAATTAAGGAGGTGACAATAGTAAAAGGAGTTTAAGAAAAAGCAACAGTTTAAGAAAGAATAGTAGTTAATATCAGTTTGAAAAGAAATAATTTCGCAAGAAAAATGTATTTTTTACATGTACTTACAATATTTTTATTAATAACGGTAAAAGTTTTTAGAAAAGTTTTAATGAAAAAAAAAATAAACGAAACAAACGAAATAAATAAAATTTCGCGATAATTTTCACGTGATCGAAAATAAATAGCGATTATTGTCACGCAATAAAATACTTTATAAAGATTTTCATTCTTTTTTTTTTTTTTTTTTTTTTTTTTTTTTTTTAAAAAAAAAAAAACTTTATTTATATTTACCATCCTTTCATTATTACTTAGTGCAGCATCAGTAAATTTTTTCACGTAAATTTTCGAAATATTACGTAAATATTTCGGAAATTTACACCTAAAAAAATCCGTTTTTGAGTTTGCTCGCGATTTACGTGACAGGGAGCGATTTTTACTAAAGTGTTTCTAATATGGATAGAAAGTCCTGGTTCTTGGCTACATGTTGATATGTGTTTTATTTTTATAGCATTGATATTCATCGAAATATTCACGTTTAAAATCAGACGTCCGACTTTAAACGTGAATATCTCGATGAATATCGAAGCTATAGGAATGAAACATATATCGACATGTATTCAGGAACCAGGGCTTTCGATCCATCTTATAAATACCTTGGTAGAAAATCGCTCCCTGTTCAAAAACGGATTTTTTATAAATGGTGTAATATTACGTTTATTATACCTAAAAAATTTTCTGATGTAATATTACGTCAAATTTACGTAAATCCTACGTAGGTATCCCTAAAAAAAAAATTTCCGGATGCCTAATTTCGAATTTTCAATTTAGTTTTTTTTTAAGTTATAATTTCTTTTTTTTTAGTTTTTTTTTTTAATTTTCAATTTCGATATAATGATCGAAAAGGTTGCATACCGTATATTTTTATCATTATTATTATCATTATTATTGTGAATATTCAGAATTAAAATTTATTATTTAAAAACTTTATTTAGTATTTTAATCTTAAACAATTTAAAGACATAGTAAAGTACATAAATATTCTTAAAAGTAATCATCATAATTAATGTAACTACAAAATAGAATTCGTGATGAAAATTAATTAATAAAATTAAATAGAAGATCTATTAAAGAAAGAAAGAAGATTACCATTTTTTGGGTTCTCGTACGCCAACACAATTTGAATTATTTTTCCAAATATCATTTTAAAGCTAATTGTAAATAAATAAATAAGATAAGAAACGTTTTCAAAGTAATATCCATTATATAAGGGAAAGAAAATTACCATATTTGGAATTTGGTACGCCAAATTTGCCCTCGTTTGTTCGTTCGTTCGTCCATTCGTTCGTTCGTCCGTTCGTCCGTTCGTTTGTTGTTCGTTCGAAAGGAATATCGAAATATCTGTATAAAAGTAAACAAAATAAGTAAAATAATTGCAAATTAATAAGTTTTCATCATTCCAGTAAAAAACAAACATAAATATAAAATAAAAAAATAAAAAAATAGAAATCGCATGTCTGTTTCCGGGAGTTCCACAATCAATTCTGCAGTTCTACGTCATCAGTTATTTTTGTATCCACATAATCCATATTGATTTCATTCATTTGTTCGAAGGAATATATGTATAAAATAAACAAATAAGTAAAATAAATGCAAATTAATAATTCAAGTAAAAAACAAACATAAAAGAAAAAAAGAAAAAATAGAAATTGCGTGTCTGTCTCCGGGAGTTCCACAATCAATTCTACGTCATCGGCTATTATTTTTGTATCCACATCCACTATTGTTCAATAAATTAAATATTATTGTTCAATATTAAATTCAAATAAGAAAAATTTGATCATTAGTAAAGATTGATAGGAAGATACCTTAATAATCATCCATTATGTTGGGAGAGTAATCATCCATTATGTCGGAAGAGTAATCATCATCCATTAAGAAAGTCGGAGGTAAAACCAATATTCCTCTTTCTCTTTGCAATTTATTAAGTTCATCACGGCGGACTTGAAGCAATTTGTTGGGAGAAAATTTAGGATTTGAAAATGGTTTCCACTTGTATTCCTCCCATTCACTAAAAAAAAGTCAATATTAATTAATATCCAAAGAAAAATAATTGAAAATTCTTAAGAATAATGAATACATACCAATCTTCATATGGACCGGGGTTAATTGTTGATCGCAGAAATTTGTAATCATCATATTTAGAATTTCTGCAGGGCGGCTTCTTTTTATTCTTGGAATGTTGATGAAGCCCATCAAGAAAGCACACCTATAATTAAATTTCAAAATCAAATTTTTTAATTTTTTTTTTTTATAAAATGTATTATAAAGAAATTAAACAAATATACAAATATAGTTACTCTGGTATTATATTTTCTTAAATCTTTTCTATCTCGTATAGATACCGGGGTGCCAAGAAATTTCTCTCCAACCTCCTTTGTATATCGAGAAGACAAGGCTTCTGACATTTCGTTGTTAACAACTCGTCCCCTGTAAAATCAAATTATTATGTATATATAAAATACTATATTTTCAATAGGTTAATTAATTAATTCAACTTTTATACCTCTCCCCCAATTGAGAATTCAAGTATGGGGCATATCTATTCTGAGATCGTCGTCCTATTTTTTTGTAAGAATGATTATTTTTAATAAAAAAATAAATATGCATATATAAATACAATATTAATTATATACTAACTGTTCTTGGCAAGTGAAATTTGTCCCGTTTTGGCCGTTTTATTGATCATCACTGTTGGATGGGTAAGTTTCGGTCCGTTGGTTTTGGTCGGGCGATGGAAATCGGTATTGGTTGGTCTATTATAATATGTTATTATAATATTTTAATATCACCCTAATATTTAAGAAATTAATAATCAACAATATACTTACTCTTCATATGGAATAACACTACCAGCACTTGATGAAGAAGGTGTTGAAATCGAAGAAGGGACATCTTCATATCTATTACAATATGTTATTATAATATTATAATATGTTTTTATAATATTCTATTATGATATTTTAATATCACCCAATATTTAAGAAATTAATAATCAACAATATACTTACTCTTCATCTGGAATAACACTACTAGCTCTTGATGAAGAAGGAGTTGAAAACGAAAAAGAGGTATCAAATCTTAAAAGGTTGTTATTAGACATATTTTTAAACTAAAGGAAAGAAGAAAAAGAGATGAAAAAAATAAAAGTGAAAGAAATAGTGGTAAAAACGAAACAAAGTAAAAGTAAAGGAAGTAAAAATGGAAGTAAAAAAGGTAAAAGGGGAAGAAATAGAAGGAAAAGTAGGAAAGAAAATTTTGAAATTAAGGAGGTAAAAGGAGTTTAAGAAAAAGCAACAGTTTAAGAAAGAATAGTAGTTAATATCAGTTTGAAAAGAAATAATTTCGCAAGAAAAATGTATTTTTTACATATACTTACAATATTTTTTTTAATAACGGTAAAAGTTTTTAGAAAAGTTTTTTAAAAAAAAAAAACAAACGAAATAAATAAAATTTTCGCATCATATTTTCACGTGATCGAAAAATAAAAATAGCGACCATTGTCGCGCGATAAAACACAAGCACAATGATTGGAACGATCAAATGATTTTAGTCACGGAATTATCAAGTAATTTCGCGTTTTAAGAAAAAAAAACAAAAATTTTTTTTTTCGCGCTACCATCACGTGATCGTAATAGAATGATTGTGATCTAATGACTTTGGTCTCTGAATTGTCAAGAGACTTTAATTTCGTCGGGAATTGAAAAGTAATTTCGCGTTTTAAAGAAAAAAATCAAAATAAACGAAATGAATAAAATAAATTTTTCGCGAACAAAAATACAATGATTCTAATTACTTTGGTCACGGGATTTCAGTTTCAAGTACATGTCACGTTTTTAATAACGTTTTTTATTAATGCAAAATTATATTTTTATATAAGTACATGTCACGTTTTTAATAACGTTTTTTTATTAATGCAAAATTATAAGTACATGTCACGTTTTTAATAACGTTTTTTATTAATGCAAAATTATATTTTTATATTACATATCAAATTATCGATAACTTTAAGACAAAAAACGATACAAATATATATTGATATTATCTTAACTATATCTAAGTGTTTAATAACCATTCACATGTTTCCTCCAATAATTCAAACCTATTTTTTTGAGCTAATTCATTTATTCTTGTGATTAACTTAATAATGTCATCCGCGTTAACCGTACTCTGAAATTCACTTCCGCATTCACAATATTTGCGTAAATTCCCTTCTCTAATAAGTTTACATTTAGAACATATAAGATCTTGTGTTTGGAATTTTCCTATTTGATTGTTTATGAATTCCAAAAGTGCAAATTGAAGTTTACTTGGATTTAATTTCGCATCACAATTAATACAATTAGGATAACCAATGTCGATGGCCTGAATGCTCTTGCAATCAGTGCATTCAATATTACCAACTTTAAGATTATTTTCAAGCTTGAATTTTTTAACATTGTCAGTATACGCACTTATCCTTAAGAGATTACAACAGTTTTGCTTGTTGGTCCAACTTTCGTCTGGTCCTATTGCAACCTCTATAACTGCGCAAATCAAATTGAGAAATAGTATCCCTTCGTTATGAACCTTTTGCGCATTTTCCACTTCTACAAGGATATCTCTTCTTAGGAGGCTTCTTTTAAATTCGTAATTAATGGGATTCGTGATAAAATTAAGGATATCATCCATCAATGCATCAAATTTACTTTGTAATTGTTCAGGGAGTAAGTCTACTATCGTCCATTTTTTATCCACATAATTTGGATGATGCAATAAAGTACTGCTAAAATTTTTCGGATCGATCCAAAGGATATTAGTCCATATGTTTCTAAAATCCAATTCTAAAGATTTAAAGACTGGCTTCCTCTGAATATAAGACTTGAAAGAGTTCTGATATGTCATGGCCAAATCTCGGCGTCTTTTCGGTGATGCGATTATAATTTTATAAAAATTGCCATAAATAACTTGATCTCCAAGTTTTTTGATCTCGCCCATAAGTTGCATTACCTATTTAAATTTATTAATATTAAAATTTGAAAACATTAAAGTCAAATAAAAATAAATATATTTAGACATATAATAGATATATAAATATACTCTATATTTACCACTTTCTTCATCAAAAGCCGCATCAGTCCATATATGGTATGATCATAGAATTTAGATTCGTTTGTTCGAAGCCATGATTCCAAATTTTGAATCAAATCTTTAGCGAATTTATTATTATTAATGTAACCTTCATTGAACCAATCTTTAACCATAGTTTTAAGAGCAGTAAATGTTGCTTGAGGTATCTCATCTCCAAAAATCCTTGAAGTTCCTTCAATTTGATTTATCGAAGATGATTCAAGTATCGTGTTCAAAATTAAATTATTCAACTTGATTTCAAAGCATAAACTTTTGTATACTCCAGGATTATTAGAACAAAAGTCGTAATCTAATTCATCATTAGGATGTAAATATTCATCCTGTTCTCGACCGCTACCAAGATCAGGTTTAGGAGAATTAGACCACCAAAGTATAACATCTCCTTTTATTAAACGTCGAGCAAATAAAATATCGATGGTGAATATTTCGTTATCTTCATTAATATTGCATAGAGGTAAATTCGCGTCTTTTGCTTTAACGATCTTATTCTTAATTATTGATCCGACTTGAAAATATCTGACGAACATTAACTCAACTGCGTGCTCTTGCCAATCAAATGTTTGAAAGGTATCATTTGACTTTATATTCATTGTGGGAAACTCTCGTAAAACTTTTACTCCTTCCTCAATTAGATCACGGCAATTGTATGGAGATTGCATGACAAAGATTGTTGGCCCATGTCTTTCATTCTGATATTCTCGAAGTATTTTTGTCAAGTCTTTTGTAAATTGTTTAGTATTGTCCAAATGAGGAACTACCTCAAATGCGAGTTCGTCATAAACTTTAAATATTTCAGAAATAATTTCACAGTTATCTTGTAAATTTTCTAATGAACTTTTATATTTTGAAGACATGTTTCTAAATAAATAATTACTCGCTGTTGTTCCTTTACCCACAAAGAAGATCTTCGCCTTATTACTTCGAGTAGAAAATAAACCATATATTTGACGATCTCCAGACATAATGTGGTATAAATATAAATAATTAATTTGTTGGTCTTGTAAATATAATTCATAATTTTCCGGTCTTTTGATATTTCTAATGTCCAATCCTTTTCTAAATGCAGATTTAAGTACCTCAGCCTTGGCTGAATGTTTGTTAATCATATTACCAACCTCTATTAAAGCACGATCCAATAGGGATACTTGTGTTTCGTAAACACCCTCAGTGAGAGGATCATTAAAAATGTTATCAAGAAAATACTTATTTTCTTTATAAGTCGATTCAAGCATGTTCACTTCAAAAAGATTGAATCGTTCTTGAGACCTAGGTAAAGTACGGTTTACTTTGGCCACATTTCCCTTAATTCCAGTCATTTCATTTATTTCTTTCGGGAGAGTTTTTGACTTGTAATTAATAAAGAATCTTCTTGGAACAATAAGACGGATTGATTGAAGTGCCCTTCCTATAAGAACCCACATAATAAAATCTCCGGGCGTTTTGGTTTCGTCTATCTGTAGGATTTCCCATATAACCTCTTTGTTGAAGAATTTTTCTAAAGAAATTTTATCAATATTATTGGCAACATTATGTCCTTCAACAGTTTTATTTGTATTTATTTGCTTTTTTCCTTTTGTTGAAGTAATGTGTGATCGACTCGTATTTTCAACAGAAATATTTTGGGAATCTTCATCATCTATCCTTTTACCATTAGAGGTTTGTAAATTTTCTTCCTGAGGATCTATATCCATTTCGAGATCCAACTCGTTTTCTTTTGATTCTGAAAGTGATAAGACATCACATTTTTTCTTTGCTGATTTTTTAACTACTGCCCTAAGCAATGGAACACTTTTAGGGATTCCAAAATTTTCTATATCGTCTATATTTGGGGCATCGATGTCATTGGTTTCATCATTGACTTTTCGAAACATATCGGTGATACGCCTCTGTTTAGAGTCACATTCTGATAATCTTTTGCATAACCATTCAGGATGTTTTAATCTTGGAACTGGATTATTAATATCCTGAGATGCCGCAGGAATTGTAATAAGTTTCTGAATAGTTTTTCCTAGGCGTTCATGATAATAATTCCAGTCTAATATATTCCGGACATCAAAATTATCCATATTAGGATCTGCGGTCCATTTTCTTAGGAAATTGATTTTAACATCGTTTTCTGCCGAAAATATTGCTACTGGTATTACTCGTTCACTAACCGGCAAACCCGGAGGCCTAGCGGAGATAACAAAATTGCAAGTCAATTTGTTCGCCTTAACGTGATCACCTAAGAGTTCTGTCAAACGTTTTGCTGCTGTTATCGCCGTAGATTTTTGTATACCATAATCTTCATATGAACGTGACATGCTGCGCTTTTCACTAATATATTCTATTAATATTTTTTCGGGAAGAGTGGTTCCTTTATATTCTATAATGTCCAGGAAAGCATTTGCGGTCTTTCCTACTTCATTATAACATTCTTCGAGTGTCTTTCCTTTAAGAAAATCCTGAAATATGCATTCTTGGAAATTTTTCAGCAGTTTAAGCTCTCCGCGTCTCTTCATTTCAAATCCTTTTAACTCTTGTAAGGTGCCATCAGGAGCAAACACTGCGTATCTTTTCTTTAGAAGTTTATTTTCTTCCAAAGACGCTGGTAATATCATAGCTCGATAAGGACCGTCAACCTCAAAGAATATGCTATTTTCTTTTCGTAATTCATACTTCATTTTATTACTTGATAGATTATGATATTGATCATTGGTAAAATTAAGGTGCACTAAATAATTTAGCATTGCACATGGAAATGATATTGTAAGGGATTTCCCTGATGATAATTTAAATTTATAATTTTCAGGGAAATTTGAAGGAAGAATACACCAAATTCCATCAGTATCAAGTTCAAGTGGCCGACCAATTTTTTCAATTAATTTCCTTGCCATTTGAATAATCTTCGATCCAGTATCGCATACAACTCCCGCCATTTCCATAGAATACCATCTAGATCCTTTGCGCATAACATATCCATAAAAGGAATTTAAAATACATTTATGCGCCAACTGTAAAGAATCGTATTGAACAATCATTTTTTTCGCTTCATCAATCATCACAAGGTCTTCATTCTTGATAGCTTCTGATAATTTATTTTTCCACTCTTTGACTTTAGCTTTGTACGCATATCGCAAATCGCGAAAATTAAGCACCGTGTTTACGTAAAATGGATTTTCACGTTGACAAATTAGGGCTTCTTTTTGTTGTACCTTAGTTTCTTTCTTCTTCTTATAAGCCTTTTGACAATAATCACCGAGACGTTTCTTTAAAAATGATGATTGTTCCTCAGAAGATAATTCCTGATATGTGCGCAATTTCCCTTCTGGAATGTTTGAAGGAAAATTTTCTGACACCATTTGATTCTTAATCATGTTATATTCATCCTTCTTTGCAGGATAATATTCACCACGCCACGACCATGTCATCTTGCGGTCGCAAGTCTTTCCAGGAACATTGTAATCACATCTAAGACAAACATCTTCAGTGATCATAGAATCTGGTTGAAGCCGATTCGTAAGAATAATATTTGGGTACATAGCAGCAACATCCAAATGATAAATGAGTGGCGTTTTTACGAACTGTTGCTTGCTTTCACGAAGTTCTTCCAACGCAGATAGAATTCGCGAACGAACCTGTAAAAAATTTATTAGACTTCGCTTTAACTGAAATGTTTAAATGCTTTCCTTAGGTTATAACGGTTCATTATATTTACCTCATTATAATTCGTTATTTCACATATTTTCTCAGCTAAAATATTCATTACATCCTGCATATATAATAATAGATAATATACTTGGTAAACTCGTTTTTTTTAAAAAAAAAATTTTTTACTTTAAATATTCTTAAGAAATATCTCACCTCATTATCTACGTTAAATACCGTTTCTTTCAAATTTTCATCAGTTTCACGAGATGCCTCCCAGATAGCAAATTTCAAAAGGTCATCTATATCAATCATTAACTAACATAGAATAATTAATGTTAGCGTGTTGTAAAAAAAAATTTTATGTTAACATGATAGAAAACGTCACAAACCTTTCGGATGACTTGAGAATCGACATTAAAATTTACTGAAATATCGGATCTAAAAACCCCAGCTTCCAAAGCATCAACATGACCACCTATATATGTTTCATCTTGAAGAGGGTGATCATTAAAGAACTTATCACCCTGATTCACGTGTTTATTAGGCATGATAATATTTGCACGATAAGCTTCCACCTGTAATAATATAGTTTATTGTATTATGATTATTATTGTTATTCTAAATTTAATAAATTAACTTAATTTGATTTTACCATCAACAATGCTTCACATAGAGTTCCGGTCCCTCTCCTTGAAATGTCATCAGGATTCATTGGAATAATGTTACAAAGAGAAAAGATAAACGGATGTATATACTGGATATAAAGATAATATGTAGCTACGGCATCTGAAACGGAATAACGCGCCAATGTTTGTGGGTTAGTTTCTGCGTATCTAATCGTCATTCATAATTACTATTATGTTAATAAATCAAATAATTTCATAATCATTTAAATAACAAATAATTTCTGGCAATTATTTACTGACTCGGTCATTACTTCCGGGTCCAATTCGTCAGGGTTATATCCTAATTTAGCTTCGGTTACTCGCTTTAAACCCTGGCTACCAATAGGCAGATAACTATCTCGTTTAACCCATTGAAAACAATCAATATGTGCACATTGTTTACTCGTATATTCATCATTATCGACCCCTCTAGATTTAGTAAACCCTATTTCCTACAGAATAAAGGCAAAATAAAAGAGGGAAATAATATTAGGAAAATTTTGAGATAAGTTGTAATTAATTTGACGAATCTTTACTTTTTGCATATTAATCTTGAAAATTTCCGCTCGTCTTTCGACGAATGGCCAATCAAAAGAATCACCATTATAAGTGGTGATTATTGTCGGTTTTTCTTGTTTAATTTGGGTGAAAAATCGTTTTAGTAATGCCTCCTGGATATTATGAAATATATTTTAATCAGTAATTTGATAAGTTATAATGAATTAAATCTGCTTATTTAATCACCTCATTCAGTTCATTGAATATTTTGAAATGGCCTTCGTAGGCCGGGGTCGGAGAATACTCGATTTCTTCGATATCCTCCGATACAATTTCACGATTTGTTATGAGATATCCCTAACAAAGATATAAAATGTTATTATGAACTACAATGAAATTAATGAAATTTAATATTGTCACTCTAGAATCTTTACCCGGCCATCGACCATGTAGGATATCATCATTATAGAATCAAAATCGGCATCCGGAAAGTTGAGAGGCTTTTTGGATGTTTCAATATCATATGCAAGCACAATTGGGTTGGGATGTTGCATTATTTCTTCTTGATGACGCAATATAACGCGTGTTCCACCTTCTTGAGGAAATGCTTTTACTTTATACCATCGCCCAACTCGAAGGTCTTTAAAAAGAGTTAAAAAGTAAAGTTCATAATTGAACAAATTAAAACATTTTTACGGTTATTATATAGCTCTAATTTTCGAAAAGTACCCAAATCCATAGCGGCACGTTGACAATAAGGTATATCGTATTCACGGATGTCAATAATATTATTAACCGGTTCATTATTTTTATTGTTATTTTCGGGATTCTGGAATGTTTTACCATATTGACCATATCTAAAAAAAAAACGAAAATACATATTCTTACCTAAATCGACATCAAACGATAATAAAATTTTTAATTTATTATATTTATTATAGAAAGAAAGATTCACCTAAGATGGTCTTCATAAACATCAATAGCTTCCAATCCTTTTTGATTCTCCTTTACAATTTTCAATAACTTATTTCGAACTATTAATAACTCATGAGTATTCCAGAATTCTATTTTAATATATTTTCTTATTCCATCCACAAGATGGTTCGCCTACATCCATTTTGAAAGATTATATTAAAAATTAAATATATAACGCATAAAGTGTATATAATATTTTACTTTACCTTCTTTAAATCTTGCTTTTCAATAACGGAAACTTTGTGAATATATTGCTCATACTTTTTTAGCAAATATTCACTAACTTCTTTTTCTTTGTCAGTCTATCAACGAATAAATTTATAAATACAGAATAATGTGTTAAATAAAAAAAAATAAAAAAAAAAACAAATAAAAAAACAACGGTTGTATATTATTTACCCTACTTTGCACAAAAAAATACGGGAAGTACGATAACTTGCATCGAAAATATGAATTACTTATTCCTTTTGATTCAAGGAAAAATAAGTCAACTGCAGATTTTCCGGTCTTATGTTGACTTGTTTGAACTAGTGACTACAATTATATTTATATATATATATGAGTTAATTCTCAATTTGAGAAATCATAAAGTGAACTTCATGGATGCTCACCTGACTTGTATTATATAACCAACCTAATCGAGAAGGTCCTTGATCATATTGGGTATAACCAAGCTTTTCTAAAATAATATTTTCATATTCATTTCTTGAAGTAAACGAAGTAAACATTTTTTTTGAAGACGCGTCTATAATTTTTGGCGGATCATACTTAATTACTATAAAAATTTCACAGTCACATGTTATTACGAATAATCTATAAATACGCGTCTATTTCTCACCTTCATACAGTATTTTTAATTTTAGTTAGCTCTTTTATGTAATTGTTTTTATAAATTGTATAGTTATTTATCAATGTAATAAACATTCTGGTCGTTGGTTTTAAAAAAAAATAAATAAAGAAAAAAACTCTTCTATTCATTCATCGTTTAAAATAAAAAATGCCTTACGTTTTAAAATAAAAAATACCTTACACCTCTTCTATTCACTCATCGTTTAAAATAAAAAATACCTTACATGTTTTCTAATACCTAATACTCTTGTTTCCAGACGCGCTACTTATAATTAGGATCATGGACGTGATAATTCGTAACCGTTACTTCGCTCCTCAACAATTGAAAAATATCTTTCCGATTTCTGGGAGAATTGATGCTTTGGGTAAAAGGTGCGTTTGATTTTTATTTTGCAAAGAGGCAACTTCTAGGAGGATGTGTTCTGGGAGGATGCGTTCTGATATAGGCGGTCATTCCTAAGGGGATGCGTTCTGACATAGGGTGCATTCTGACATAGGAGAATTACTGTACCGTAATTGCTGGTAACCCCACCTTTGCTGTTCGGGCGCCTAACTTTGTCGTGGGTAAAGGTCTGCTAATTTGGAGGAGAATTATGCTATGTTCCTTCTATTATCACTAAGTAAAAAGCTGGCGCACTGCATTGTTAACATTGATACTTTATTTAATGTTAACGATGATAATTATTTCAAATCATATATACAGGTTGAACGGCATGAAAATACTTTGGAATTTTATTAGAGAGTGTTTATTGATCGAAAAGTACAGTTTATATGTATATTCCTTTAATCAATGTCATACACATATGTATATTTGGAGTGTTTAATATTAAACATATTGTCATTAATTTACAATTAATTAAATATAAATCAAATCGAAAGAAACGAAAAAAACAAAATAATGAATTAAAAAAAAAGAACAAAAGAATAATGCGTGTATTATTTATTGAAATGCAACATCAAATCGTTTTGCCATTACATTACCACCACCACTCGCATACCCAGTACCTTAAATAAATAAATAAAACATTAAAGGAAATCTAATTAATAAATTTCCATAAGTCCAATAGAAAATTAAAAAAAACGAGATTTACCTTCTCCAGACATATCCGCAATATCCTTTTCTTTACATTTGGCATTGCAAACGAAACATTTTTTAGATTTTTTGACAAATTTTTCTACGCAAACCTTACAAATGACATGTCCGCAAGGCTTCATTACTATAATAAAAAAAATTTCATTCGAATAATATATTTTAATTTATTGGAATTAAAAATAATAATAATCAAGAAGAAATTGATTTTTAATACGTACAACAAATTTTGACTGAATTTGTCAATGTCCTACGACATGAAGGACAAACGAAAGAAATAGTTTTCGAGTCAGGATTTTTGTCCTCGGTGAATTTTGTTGGGATTAAATTTTTTAAACTAAAAATGTAAATAAATAAATTAAAGAAATAAATCATTAATTTAAATCATTAATTTAAATCATTTGAATCTTACCTTATTGGATGCTCGGGATCAGTCCCAGTGCACATTGTTTGCAATTTTACAGATTTTATTTTATCAGGATCAGCGGAAGGCGTAAGCGTTGGCTAAAAGTAATATTTAATGAAATTTAATTTGAAATTTAATTTGAAATTTAAATATCAAGAAACAAATCAATATGTATAAAAATAATTTACCAGCCAGAAATTCGGTAATTTTGGTTTTGATGCTTGCAGCTGAAAGAATTAAAAAAACAACGTTATCACATATAAATTAGAATATAAAGAAACATTATCAAAGGATAATCTAAGAATATACGAATATATACCCTCTCTCCCTCTAAAATCTCTAATGCTGCCATTTTATCGCGTTCAGCTATTACTGCAATTTCTTCCTCATCAAAATGAAAGTTTCTCTTTTTCCCAGCGACTAAAATAAAATAAAATAAAATAATTAAAATAAAGTATTATGAATTGTATGATAATAATATATAATAATAATATACCTTGAGAAGTTCCTATGCCCTCGATAAATTTTCCATTTGATTTTAATTCAGGAGACTGGGTGCCGGTTTCTATCGTTTCTTTTGAATTATTTGAATTTTTATCATTACCCTTATTAACTTTATGACTATTTGATTCAGCCGGAGTAATTCGAACTTGTTGACGTTCAAATTTTTGAATTACTGCCTCCCTTGCCAATTCTTCTTTACGTTTAGTTTCTTCCGCTTCATCCTTTTCCCTTGCTTCAAGTAAAAGTTGTTGACGTTTGATTTCTTTTTTCTGAGCTAAAATGTTTTCCAATATACATTCCCTACAATATAAATGCCCGTGACTACAACAGACTGGATCGCGAGCTCTCTGAAGGCATAAATAACAGGCATCATATTCTCGCATAGACTCTCGACCCAATCTTTGCTATATAATATACGAGAGGCAAAGAGAAATCGTTGTTAATCGACGTTAATGGGTTGTTTGTCGCAATCTCATAGTTCCAACAAAAACTACCTTTTTTGTTCCATATTCTAAGGCTTTTCCTTCTGCATATGTAAAGAATGAAAGTGCAGTATTATTTTTACTATGACGAGGCATCTTATAAAACTCCAAAAAACGGATAAATATATATCAGATATATATATATACACACACACAAAAGTAAAGTACAGAGAATATATTATTTTTTTTATTGAAAATTAAAAAAAAAAAAAATTTTAAAAATACAAAAATCGAATTTCAATTTCTCATGTGACATATTATATTGAATAATTTAAGTATGCAAGGGAGGGAGGCATCATATTTACAAGTGAAAATGTACATTTTATAGTCAAACTTAATTAACATTAATTATTAGATTAATTGGATTAACTAGTGGGTCGTTTAATATAAGGTTTAGAAGGATCTTCTGCTAACACTTTTGGTGGTTTGAATTCAGTTCTCACTTTCTTTTTCTTTTTTGAAACAGTTCCTACATTATTCTTTTTTGTTTGAAAATCTCTCCATTTATTAACCCTTTGTTCTCTCGTTTCTTCCCATAATTTTTCCTCTTCAGCTTTTCTTTTCTTTTCTTTTTCAACTTGTTCAGCTTTTTGAGCTGCTAAACCTTGAGCTTCTAATTCTCGTTTTAATAATTTACGTCGACGTAATTCTTGTTCTATTAATATATCTTTGGTTTTTTGTTTAATTTGTAAGTCAAATTCGGGAGTATCAATAATTGGATTATTGGGTTTTAATTTTTGATCATTAATTAAAGTTATTTTTGCTTCTTCAATTATTGCCAAAAAAAATTGTCGCGTTTTTTCATTAGACAATTCTGTTTCTGCCTGAAGATTAAAGATTGGATATTATTATTATTATTATTATTATTATTTATCATTATTAGAAAGAATTGTTGGAAATTATTAGAAATTTGTAGTAATTATTAGTTTATAATAATTAATAAATATAAAAGTTGATATAATAATGTTTTATAAGTGATGTTTACTAAATAGATTAATTTGGGAATTACTCAAATGTTAATGAAACAATACCTTTTTTAATAATGAAAACGCTTCTTCTGCTTTGGGATGTTTGGTTTTATCGGGATGAATAAGTAGGGACTTCCTTCGATACGCATTTTTTATATCTTTCTCAGTACAATTAGGTGAAAGATCAAGAATATCAAAAGGATTTAATTTGAAAGAGGAAAGAATACGTTCAACTTCTTGATCTTTTTGAAGTTGAGTAGCTTCAGTCGCAAGATATTTATCAATATCAAGATCTCCCATTTTTTTTTATAATAGATTATAAACGAGATTTAAAATTTTGTATTTATTTATTTTATTGACACTATAAAAAAATTAAACAAGATTTATAAAAAATTTGACAAGTGATATGCATAAAAAATGTTCTTGGCTTATTCAAAAGAATAAAAGGTATCACCAAATAATTAGTACAATGCCATTGGATTTTTGCCACGTTTCGTGTTAATCGTATTTGATTTTGCTATAAAAATTTCGAGTCCTCGAAAGTTCAATTAATTTAATTTAATCAAATTTTGATTTTACAAAAAATTATTCATCATTAATTAAAATGAAAAAGTCCACCATTATTCTCGCAACGAGTCTTTTAGCCTTATCCTCACTCGTATCAGCTGACATATACCTAAAAGAAACTTTTTCCGACGCTGATTGGGAAAAGGTATACCACATATATATATATTATTTTCTTCGAATTTTCGATTTTTTTTCTTTTAATTGGAAGAAAAAATCATAATTCTTGAGTTAATTAAAAATAATTTTTATTTAAAATTTACATAGCGTTGGATTTATCCTGAGAAAAGTGATAATCTTGGTAAGTTTAAAGTATCCGCAGGAGTATTTTATGCGGATGAAATAGAATCTCGCGGTCTTCAAACGTCGCAAGATGCAAAGTTTTACGCTATATCCACTAAATTTGATAATATAATCGATAATTCGGATAAGGATTTAGGTTTGTTATTTTTTTTTCATCTTTTATATTATTATTATTTTTTTAGATTATTGTCCCTTTTGTAGAAAACAATTAATTTTGGAATACGTAACGCGATTTCTTTTTTTTTAATCCAGTCATTCAATTCTCGGTCAAACATGAACAAAACATTGATTGTGGTGGTGGATATATTAAAGTAAATATCAATTTGCGTTATTATTATTATTATATTATTATTGTTGTTGTTATTATTGATTATTATTATATTATTATTATATTGTTAATATTATTTATAAATATATTATATATAAAAATATTATTTATTTATTTATTCATTTATTTATAATTTCAGCTTATGCCTCCAACTTTTGATGCTTTAAAATTCAATGGAGATTCAATATACAATATCATGTTTGGGGTTAATATTATATTTAATTTAAATTATTTTTATTCAATTCATTTATTATGTAAAACTAATTTGACTTTTGAATTAAAAAATAGCCCGACATATGTGGACCCACTAAACAAAGAGTTCACGTGATTTTGCACAACAAGTACCACAAAGGAAAAGATAAAAATAAACAAATTAAAAAGACGATCGTTGCACCCGCGGATCAGTTAACACATTTGTATACTTTAATATTAAAACCGGATCAAGTAAGTCTTTAATTGAAATTAATCATATATTACCATCAATCATATCAATCACAACAATTATGATTAAATTTTTTTTTAATTGATTTCTTAAAAAAAAAAAAAATTAGACATATGAAGTTTTAATTGATAATAAAGTCGAAGCTTCTGGAAAGTTGGAAGAAGACTTTGATCTTTTTCCACCTAAAGAGATTGAAGGTATTTATACACGATTTATTTAAATCAAATTTGGATATCGCTAAAATTTATTTATATATAAACAGATCCCAATGCTAAAAAGCCAGAGGATTGGGTTGATTTGGTCGAAATTCCTGATCCAAATGATACAAAACCGCTTGATTGGGTAGATGGTCCATCTACTATACCTGACCCAAGTGCCAAGAGATCTGAGGATTGGGATGGTAATTTCCATTTACGAATGATTTTTTTTTTTATTTTATTTAAAATATGAAATAATATTGATATGTATTAATTTCGTTTTTATTTTTATTTTTATTTTTTTCGAAAAGATGAAATGGATGGAGATTGGGAACCACCACAAATCCCTAATCCAGATTTTAAAGGAGAATGGAAACAAAAAACAATACCAAATCCAGATTATAAAGGCAAATGGACTCCTCCTTTGATTCCAAATCCTGAATATAAATCAGAACCTTTAATTCATGCTTACAAGTCGGCTTATATCGGATTTGATTTATGGCAAGTTAAATCTGGTTCAATATTTGACAATATCTTAATTACCGATGATGTTGAATCAGCAAAAGCTTTTGCCGAAGAAACTTTTGTAAAATTCCGTGAAAATGAAAAGGAAGTTAAACGAATTTTAGATGATCAAGAAAATGAAAAATCTCCACCTTCTGGAGCACCTTCTGGACCACCTCAAGGATTAAAATTTGAAGAAGTTAAAGATGATGATGATGACGATATAATTGATATGGATGTTACAGTTGACGATGAAGGAAAAATATTGGTTTCAGATCCAGATTCAAAAAATGATCTCCCACCAATCGTTGAACAAGATAAAGATAAGATTAAAGTCAGGGATGAAGAAGAGACTTTATCAGATTCAGCATCATCATCCGTTTCAGAAGAAACTCCCTCACCATCCGCATCATCACAAACTAAACAAGGCAAAGATGAATTTGATAAATTATTTGAAGATTTAGAAGCAGAAATAGAAGAACCACCAAAGAGAGATGAATTATAAATTCTTGCTTTTCATTATTAATTTATTATTAATTTTTAGATTATAGAACATTTTTCAAATATTTCTTTGTATTTTCTACTTTCTTGTATTTTCTTTATTTGGATTGATATATAAAATAATGTAATAATAGAACTTTAACTATTTATCTATCTAATGTACGTTTATTATTTAATTATCCATAATTTAAATGGGAATGACTTATTATTCGCATTTGAAGTTTAGTAAATAATTTACAATAAAATAAATGTGTTCGTTTAATCTCTATTATTCATAATATTTGTTCGGTTTTTCTATGCAGTTCATTTTATAGTCTTCGTGGAATCTATTCATCTGCACCAAATAAGGTAGCAACATTAATATTTTTTTATTTAGGAGAATTCCAAGAAAACAAAAAAAAAAAAAAACGCAATGAATATAAAGAAAAATGCAATGAATACGTTAAAACTGTCGACTTCCTTCCTTCAGTCAGTTTTCTTTACCCCTTTCGTATATATAAAAAAAAAAAAAAACGATTATCAGTAAAAACCATTATTTCTTTTTCATACACATTAATCTTTGATATCGTACTTTTTGAAGACCTTTTTCATTATACCACCACTATACAACTCGAATACCTGAAAAGCATAATTTTTACACTTTTCTGCGTTTGGTAATTCCTGGATCATTTTTCTAATCGTGGGTTGGGATAACCCAAAATAATCTGGACCAGACGCGGCATTAGAATGTTTTCTATTTCGAATATTATTTGCTTGTTTAATGACAGGTGTCCAAGCTCCTGTCGCGCTTGATGCAACGATTGGGTCATTCGGTTGATCCTGGGCTTGAACGATGAACTAATAAAGAATTAATAAGTTGTAAAAACATATATACATATATTATATATTAATGAAATCTTACCTTTGGTCCATCAACGCCATCTTCAATTCGTGATGTATAGATAGTATTTTTCAAGGGATCAATCATACTAAAATAAGGTCTATTTTAAAATTTAATTAATAAATATAATTTTTATTAAAAGTAAACATGTAGTAACTGATAAAATGAATAATAATAATTTTTTAATAAAGAATTTCACCTTCGGATAGAATATCCAATCGGATAAATATAACGATTGTTATGAAAGGTCGGACGATCATACACGATTGTTCCATGACTTAATAAAGTATGTAATCCGATTCCTACTGGTAAAATGAAGTCACCGTTTTCATCTTTATCTATACAATGTGCCTTGATATTTCTTGGAACTTTAAGAGGAGCTTTTCTGCGTTTTGGTATGATGTTGGGTTGGTCATTATCATTGGTTGCCTTTCTCTTAAGTGTACGAGAGGAGTTAGCATCAGCCTCAATAATATCAATAATTTTAAAAGCATTTTGAGCATCCTGAACATTTTGAATATCGTGAGCATTTTGAATATCTTGAACATCTCGAGTATTCGATTCTGAAGTTGATTGTGTTAATTCTCGCGTATCGTTGATGGATTTTGATTCTGGAATAAATTGTGTTAACTTTTCAAGAATTTCGCTAAATATTTAATATTGAAATATATATATATATATTAGCTACTAGTCAATAATATTACTTTTTTAGTATCTAGTAATTCTGACACTTGGAAACTTACTCTCGTTCCTCCTTGCATTTTTTAACTTCTTTTAATGTTCGGGAATATTCTTGATTTAATTGTTCATTTATCTATTTAAAATATTTAAAATACACACGATAAAACAATATATATTTTGAAACTTATACAAATTTACACAATTTACACAATTTAAACTTTTATCATTACGAATTTAAATTAAAAAAAGCTTACCTTAAAAAGTTCTTTAAATTTTCGTTTTAATTTTTTATATTTTTCATAGGAACTTTCATTTGAGATACTATCTTCTTCGGACTGAACATTTAACTGTATCTTTGGTCTTCCCATTTTTAAAAACAATAAGAGAACAAGTCACGAAAGTTATAAGTTAAGGAAAAAAAGTTATAAAATCTATGAATTCTAAACACGAAACACGGCTAAGTATTGACTGTGAGAAGAGCGTGGATAAAAATCGATATTATAAACAGGATTTGTTATGGTTACACAGTTCATAATTTAACGCGACAACAAAAAAATAGTTTTTATCCTATTCTATAAATGGTTAACTCTAATTAATTTATTTCTGAATTAATAAAAAATAAAAAAATAAATCCAAATGAAATAAATGTTTTAAAGATATGGAATTTTTTTTTTTTTTAAAAAAAAAAACTAATAATTGAATCAAATGATGATAATTTAAGAATAAATAATGAAAAAGTATTTGAATAAATTATAAATAGTTTCTTCCTTCCCAGGAGAACAATAAATTTCATATATTGTATTTTTTTTTATATTAAATTAAATTAAATATTGTCTTTTAAATTTTTACATATAAATTTAAGTATAAAATAATTTGATCTGTTAATGACAATTTGAAAATATTATGATTAATTTTAAATTATTTAAATTACAATATTTTTAGTAAGGTTACAACTGTAATACAATATTTTGCACAATTAAAAACTTAAAAACCTAGCTCCAAAAGGAATATCTTTTTTATCATAATTTTATATATATCTGATATATTAAAAAAAAAAATTTTATATCCTAATTAAGATTTGTTAATGGATTTTCTTTTAACTGGTAAAGAATTTAAAGAATAAGCACGCGATTGTAGGTCAACGAAGATCACTTTTATATATTATTAATTTTGTTTAAATAAAACTTTCACATGTAACTTTTTCCATTGTTCCGATTGGGTAGATAAAATAAAATTAGATAATAAAATTTTTAAAGATTTACCAAATTTTTTAAAAAAAATTTCTTTCGTTGTATTTTTTTACTTCCAATTTATTCATTTTATTCAATGATAATGATCCGATCACAAATGTCAAAATTGACAAGTAATCAACGTAACCAACGTCATTATGCTTCAATAATTCAATTACCTTTTCATCCACATTACGTCCCTCCTGGTCAAAAACCCGTTCTTAGACAAAAACCGACAACAGGAAGGAAAAAAATTTTAAAAACTTCATATATTATTCCTTCTTGGACTTTAGGAGTATCAAAAAATAATAACCCATTCCCCAAATATCCGACCGGAGAATTGAAACAAAATAATTCAATATTAATAGGGATCGTACCTTCTATTGATAGAATTCAACCATCCGGAAAAGCGTCGTCTAGAGAAAACAAACACAACCGACGAGACGGAGAAAAGATTCCAATATTATTTAGACTTTCGACGATATATTTTGTTATGGCTTTTGTTTTTCGACATTTCAGTCTTCGTAAAAAGGACAAAGATTATAAAATCATTCCTAATTACAATTATTGATAAATAAACATTTATTCAAAGGTATAATTTTTACTTTTGTTTGATTTATTCTACAAAAATATTCTAAATTATAAATACATACTAATAAAATTTTCAAAAGATATTCGAAAAAAGACAGATTTTCATCTCGAATTAATTTAAATTAATTCTTTAAAATTATCAAATTCAAAATTCATTTATTTTTATTTTTCTCAAATTCATCAATTTTTTATTTTCTTTTTTTAAAATGTTTCTCAATTCTCAATAGCCTTACTAATGTATATCAAACTTTTGTTTTCTTGTTAAAATTTATTGTTAAATTTATTGTTTTAATAATAATAATTTGTTTAATATTAATCATAACATAATTTAATATAATAATTACAATAAAATAATAAAATATTTTTTATGTACATACATACATACATAATAACAATAATAAAATTAAAAGAACACTCCCTTCTCAGGGGTTCTTTTTACCTTTCCTTCATAATGCGAATTCACTAATTGATGATTTAGTTTTACGGGGTGGACCCATAATTTTCTAGAACGATATCATTTAATCCAAGAATTTCATTTTGTTCCCAACTTCTCTTATAAATTTCTATTTCCATATTTGGATCAGGTCCTAAAATATAATATAAGATATTGTAAGATGATAATTAATTAATATTAATATTAAATTAAAAAATATTCAATTAATTAATAATAAATTCTATTAAATTAAATAAATATTTAATTAAATTAAAAAATATTCAATTAAATATTAAATACCAGGAGCATAAGGATTCTGTAAATAAGAATTAGAAAGAGGATCATCTAATATTATATGAGCAGGTAAAACTTCGCCACTAATGACTTTATCCAATTTTTCCAAAAAATTTTTAAAAGTCTCTCTACGTTTATCTTGAACACTATCTCCACCTTTATTAACAAAAGGGATTCTCTCTATTAATTCATCATAAACTTGTCGTAAAAGTCCTTCGATAGTAGTAAATCTACCTCCCAATGTACCAGATTGAAGTTCTAAATCTAACTCGGGAATTGATAATCCACATGTCTCTGATTTTAAAATATCTCGAGACAAATCATCAATAGTTTCCATTAAAAGAGTTATTTTTTTTCCAGTGGGATGAATTCCTCCATTAGTTTTAACTTCATTAGATTTATAACCACAATTCTAATTTAAAATAAAATAAATAACAATCATAAATTGTTATTTAAAAATTTGACAATCAATCAAATGATAATAATTACATGTAAAAGAATGATTACTTACATCACATACAGTCGACATGATAATTACTTCTCTAAAATGTGGAATATTTAATACATGCATCTTCGTATCACTTGGTGTATTGCAATGTGAGCAATTAGCTGGAAATACCATGATCTCTTGAATATCATCATCATCTTCTTCTTCTTTTTCTTCCTTTTCTCCTTTAGGTTCATCCGATTCATTTTTAAGCTTCAAATCATTGTTGTTGGATATTTCATCAGAAACTGACAAACCTAACGCAATATCCATCTCACGAGTTCGGTTATAATGACGAATATGAAGTTTAGGATCTGGATTAGGTACGCACAAATTTTCTATATAACTATTATATGTGATATACGTGAAAATATAAGATGTCATATATATATATATAAAATAAAAAAGTTGTTGTCTATGAAAAGGATTCTTTACCTATTTCCTGCGGGATCATCCACAGTTACCGAAAACTTTTCTTTATTTTCCAAATAATTTGAAAGTTTTTGTATAATATTTTCAATTTTATTATAAGTTTTTTCTTCAGTATGTTTTCTTACTGGTTGATTAGTCGATAAATCTTCAATAATACTTGTCACTAATCCTTCAATCGTGGTTAATCGACCTTTTTTCGTGGTAGAAGGAATTTCAAGTTCAAGTTCGGGAATTATTACAGTTGCTGTTTCGGATTTTACTAATTGACGATTGAGATCTTCTTTTGTATCAATTTCACAAGTGTATGCACATCCTTTCTCTGCAAATGAACCAGCAAATTGAACTTCATTATTGCTTAGGCCACAATGCTAAAAATCAGAACAAATATTATATAAATATTAATTTCGAATCTAAAAAAAAAAATCAAATAGAAAATGAATAAAAAATGAAATAATTACCTCACATTCAAAACTCATGATCACAATTTCCCTCCAATGTGGAATCCTAGTTAACAACATTTTTGTAATTCCCTTTTTATATAATAAAACATACGTTAAAGAATGTCATTATTTCGAAGAATTGTTTATAATAAGTAGTTCCCATAGTTCCTTTACATTTTTTTCACAATTCACACAATAACTTTCAATTTCCATAGGTCTATTGTCTTCTTCATTTTCTGCTTGCACAATCTCTCCGATATCTTGAAAAAGTTTATCTTTTTTTTTGTTGGCCATTATTATTACCATATAATGTGAAGTTTAAATATTTTTGTTTCAAAAAAAGTTGAGATAATCTAACTTATCCAATCAAAATATTATCCGTATAAGATTATAACAATATGCATAATTGAACAAATATAATATATAAAAAAAATATGGGTCTCGCAGGACCAAAGATAAAACAACGAATTTCAGCTAACCCTAGAAATGTTGCCTGGAGCAATGGTTTGACATTTTTATAAATTAATTCATTCTCTCTTTCATAATATAAATTTTATATATTAGATATATATCATTAGATGGATGCCACTTTTTTTTTTAAGTACTAATAAATTTTTTTTAACCACATATCGTCTAAATATGAAGATACAAAAAAATTTGGTCATCAAATGTTATTAAAAATGGGCTGGGAGCCTGGTAAAGGACTTGGCTTAGATGAAAATGGAGTACAAGAAAACATTAAACTTTCTATTAAAAAAGATAATCTTGGAATTGGAGCATCAAAAAAGACAGTAGACAATTGGTTAGATAATTCTACTGCATTTGATGAATTATTAAAAGGATTAAATCAACAAACGCAAATTAATTGTGATATTGAAGATAATAACTCCTCGTTGTCATCATCACCTTCTTCTTCTCCTAAATTTGAAATAAAACTTAAAACGAGTGAAAGTGTCGTAAAGAAAGGAAAAATTAAAAAAAAAAACAAACAAAAATCGAAAACCAATTCCGAATTAGGTGATAATTCTAGTAACATGTTCTCTAGTCGTCTCGCGTATGTATCATTTATATCATATTTATCATATTTTCATTTGAGATAAAATAATTCTTATCGATTTTTTGTAATAATTTATAAAAAAAAGTCATCGAGCAAAATTTTTAAAGAGCAAAAAGGCAGTAATGAAAAATACTAAACGTATAAACGAAATTATGGGAATAAAATCCAAATCCAGTACAATTGATGACAATAAAATTGATGGCACAATTGACGATACAAATTCATCTAATTTTGAAAGGAATTCAAATAATTCTGATGATAATGACAATAAAGAAGATAATTTAAGCAAAAAAAATCAAACCAATGATTTGTATGGAGTTCAAACAAATATCAGTCAACTAAACACTACCGATTATTTTGCCTCAAAAATGAAAGCTATGAAGGAAATTAAAGAAATGAAAGCTTCAGGTAATCTAAATATATCTTGTTATTAATATTATTATTAATTGTTAAATTTAATTTTGTCAATCCAGTAGAATGTAAGAAGATCACATCTAAGGAAAGTTCTAAACAAGATGATTATGAAACTATTGAATCTGAGAAAAGAATTCCAAAAAAAAGAAAAAAGAGAAAAAATATTTTAGAAAATCAGGATTCTCAACAATTAGAATTAAATAATAATAAAGAGAGAAAAATAATAACAAAAAAAAAAAGAAGAGAAAAAGTGAATAAATTAATTGATTCAGTTATTTAAAAATATTTATTCGATTTTAAATGTTTTACAAATAAAAATAATAATAATAAAATAATCCAAATACAACAAAAAAAAAAATATCTAAATATATATATATAAAAAAAAAAAAAACTTCTAAAAATTCTAAAAACTTCAATTTTAATTACTCGATTCGCGGAAATCCTTAAGTAATGCAGCGATTGCATCAACAGTACCAATTAAACAACAAGCCAACCCAATAATTATCACAAAGAAACTCCATAACAATTCCATAGTAGACATTGTCCTTAATCCATATAATCGTATATAAAATACTACAGGAAGAACGAATACCAAAAGAGATACTGCCACTGCACCCAAAAGAGACATAAAATCTCCAAAAAAGGGTACAATTACAGCGATAGAAGTGATTGTCACAACAATAAAAGTACGAAATCCCGCACGTAAAATGAATTCGTGTAAGGGTGAATGAAATTCACGAGTGATTTTTAACCCTTTTTCTGCTTCACATGAAAAAGATGTTAAGAGAATTGGTGCAGTTAAGAGAACGTGCATGGTAATAAATATGGATGCCATAGTCAAAAATGGACCTAAAAAAAATTGTTATTTTTTTTTCATATTAAAAAATATCATTTTCGTTCGTTCCTTCGTACTAACACCCATAGAAACAATAAATTATATCATTAAAAAATATTTACCTTTGGGTAAATTGTTAAAGATAGGACTTAAACAATCATTACCATAAACATAGTATCCAAAGAAAGCAACCAACATGTACATAGTTGTACAAGTGCTCAAAGCTGCTGAAACCACTTTATTCCAGTCTTTTCGTACATTCATACTTTCTTCGATATGAGGAAAGACACTATTGGCACCAAATGAAAATGAAATAGTAGCAAATGCAATAGGAAATTCTGCAAATACTATTAAATCATGAGTAGGGGGATCGGATTTAGAAATATTGGATAAATCCACAATTGAAAGTGCTACAATAACTATGACGCCGAAAAATGTAGTAAAGGAACCAAAAATGCTAAAATATATATATATATATATATATTAATAATTTGAAAATAAAAATAATTAGAATTAAAACTGATTTAAATTATTTAAAGTAAAAGAATGAAAAGAATAAATAATAAATGATAATAATGAAAAGAATGTAAATAAAATAATAATAATAATAATAATAATAACCTTAATAAAACCACTTCTTTTATTGTTTTAGTGAATATGAAAGGTAAAGCCACCATTATTGCAGAAATACAAGTGCAAAAACGAACTCCCAATTGAATGTCCCAATATTGCTCAACCAAAGCATCAAAACTTTGGCCAGCAAGTATTAAAAATAATATCGAAACACCTAAAAGGATTATATTATTAAATATTCCAACCAAAAAGTATTTTCCAAAATTTCCGAACGCATGATATCCGATATCCTCAAATGTTTTTAAGCGAGTTTTACTATATTATAAATTAATTTTTTTTTTTTTTTGTTTTAAAGAATTTCAAAAATTCAAAAAATTCAAAAAATTCAAATACCCATCATAATAAAGACATTTAATTAAGATAACACTAGTGTAGAGAGTTATCAACATGGACAAAGGGATTAGACCTATCCCTATCCAACCTCCTTGTTTTATTGCATATGGCAATCCTAAAACACCACTTCCTGCTACTACACAGCTATTAAAAAAAAAAAAAAATTATTAAGAACCAAAGTTTACAAAAAAATTTTAAAGGATATCTTTAAATGACTTTCTTTACTTTCTTTAATTATAAGATACTTACGTAATATTAATATATGCAGCCAAACTAGAACCAGAAAACCCTTGGCTACTGGTACTACATGAGTTATCAATAGAACGTTCGTCTCCTAATAAGGGAGTAGTAGAATCTAATGAGGTAGTAGAACGATTATTATTTTCTAACGATTCTAATGGCATTCTTCGAGAGAAAAAAAAATGGTAATACAGTATTAAATGTAGCACAATATACAATCCAAAGATAAATTTTTTTTATTACAATATTCCCCAGATTCAAAGCTCCTAACGGTTTTGGGGTTGGGTTTCGGTTTGTATATCAATACTAAAAACCGCGAGACTGATATTTTAACTAAAGTTGTTTATTTGCCAATATGGTTATATTTTCTAATCTATTATTTTAATTTCTGCAGTGCCACCATCAACTATATAAAAGTTACTGATAAAGATTATTTCGGGAAACAGTTGTTGATAAAGTATTCCTATTTCTATTAATGAATGTTTTACCAAACTTTTATCTTTATTCAAAATTTCAAGTTAATTAATACACGAGGATAGATTGATAAATAAATAAATAAATTAACATGCGAGTAAAGAATCTTTATCACTTGCGTAAAAAAAATTATATTGTAGTGAAAATAAATAATCACGAATAAATGTGTTATATTTTACATCATATTTTTAATTACCGTATGATCGTTACAAAAATGTATGACCTTTATTCTTAACTTATCACTTTTAGCATTTATATTAAAACATATTATAATCCATAAATAAGGTGTGCTGTGCTTCTAATTTTCTATCTCATATGCCCAACCATCAATATACTGTAGGTGACTTGAAGTGATTTTTGATTTCTAACATACAAATCTAGAGAAATTGAGTAAAACAAATTTACAAAGAAAAATAATAATAATTAAAAAAGATCATGACAAGAGCATATTACTAGATTTCAGGATGGACTCATAAAACGCCAGATGGACTTTTGAGTTAGCAAAAAGGCTAATGCATTTTCCAGGATGGACCTTTCACTCTCCAGACAGACTATTGGGCTTGATGAAGGCCAGAAGGCAAGTTAATGAACTATGCTGACTTGATTATGTAGGAAGGAAAACAATACTTATCTGTTATGGTTAAAACAATAATTTTTAAATTTCAAAAATTTAAATGTAACCAGGATCATTACCATTGAATTACTTTGTTTCTAATTTAAAGAAAGTTTGAAAATTAATATGATATCTATTTCTAAATTACTGTTTGCAGAAGAAGATAGAAGGTAGTGTGAGATCCACATACATGACATGGAGATCATAACTTCACAACACAGAAGTTAGGAGGAGCACAATTCTCATTCTATTGAAGAACAGATTGAATAGGAAGATAGTAATAATATATAAACAGTGTTACCATAAGTTTCTTCTGCTTTAATAATTTTTATTTTTATTTATTGTTTTATTTTTTATTTGTTATTTATTTTATTAGTATAATTATTTAATATATTTTATTTATTAGTTATAATTAAAAGTCATCTAAAGCCAAGTACATCTTGTAATTTTAAGTGATCGTTGATGATCACATAATTATGGGATATACCATTTTTTATTGAACAGAGAATTAAGAAAATTGACTTGTTTTTTTGTTTTTTTAGTGACAAAAAACAAATTCTTTTTTTGTGATCATTTAAATATGTTTGAATCATCATATTTCATTATATGGTTTTTATAATATTTATTTCAAAACTATTAAATAAATAATCAGACCAAAGGAATGACTTGTGAAAATATTTATTTTTAAAATAAAGTATATACATATTTATATATTTTATAGAACCAACATAATACATTTTTATTTATTGTTCTTTTGCATTTAAAATAGATCCCAAAGAAGCTTTTAATGTTTCAATAAATATAGACTTTTGTACTGCATTTTCTTCTTCTTTAATCTTCCAATAAGCATTACGTGTTTTCTTGATTAATTCATTTATAGTAGAGCATCAATTTTTCGTTATTTTTTTGGCTTTCATTTTCTTGAATAATTCTATTTCCACTAACTTATAACTTATATAATTTCAAATCCATTTTCCATAAACATCTGTTAGAACTGTTTTCAACATCAGGAAATTTAATTAGGCGTCGATTTACGGAATATCACATGACCTCCGGAAATTTCCGCCTGAAAAATTTGAT